TCACGTACAAGATTTTGAAAAAAAATTCTGCTCCATATGAATACAAAAATAGGTCTACTAATAACGGGGCGCAATTGGTACTCATGGGAATTCCAATCGATTGTTGGAAGACCTGGTCTCCAAAAACCACATAGATATTGTCAATCAGAAATTGGAGCATCTTTTTAATATCAACTTCAGAGTACCTGTGTGTACAATCAGAATGTTTTCAAAGGGCCTTCAGGATCCTCTCACAGCAGTCTGATTAAAACCAGCCCCCCTTCTCTCCTTTCACTCCTCAGGGTCTGACAGGTATCGCAAGGAGGTCATCTTCACACGACCTCTACATCTGACCAATCGGAGGAGAGTTTCTCTTTTTCGTAAAGTCTTTTGGAACTCTTCAATAGGAGATAAAATATTTAATTCAGAATATGGCGGCATCCTATGTCCGCGGGCTGACACCTTAGAAAATTTACCTAAGGTATCCGATCCATAATTCACCTCTATCAAATCGGTCAACTTCGGAATGTGTCGTACAAGATCGGAAAACTAAATATAACGTAATTTTTATCAAATTTACAAAAACACATTGTTTATATTATATTTTGTATATGCTAAAAAAGAATGAATATAAATATTATATAACGAAGATAAAAATTTAAAAATAACGCGTACGAGAATTTTCGAGACTGTCAACTTCGTCATGGCGCCTGTGGATAGACGACGGAACAAACTCGGGCAGTTCAAAAGACAGTCGAGAATTAAGTCAGAAATCAGCAAAAAGAAGTGCAAAAATGTGATCGAGGAACACAATTATACTTCGGCACATATATGTTTAGGTTTTAACGGGTGTGATCCCGGTCTAAATGAGTACTAGTTGAATGCGGCGAAGAAAATCAACACGAATGATTCGAGTTTGAAAGGTCGACGCATTGTAGAATTTAGTGTTCTCATTGAAGGTCTTTCGAACTGTGTGAAATGTTTTGTGTGGTCCTTTATATCTGTCTCCACAAACTGTGTAAGCAGAAATGAAATTTGGGCTTGCTGGATATTTATATGTACAGTGTGTATACTGTGGCAATGTAAACAGAATACCCTATGGGAAAAAAGAGAAGAAGGTGAAAGGCAAGAGAGGAATGCATAGCTTCTGCGTAAATACTAAACTCGGTGCAGGTAATTATTGTTAATCAAATTTTAAAGAAAAGCCAAGTTTCTTTTGAATTTTTTTCCTTTGTAACTAAATAAAACTGCCTTATTCATACATGCATTTCTGATAAATTTATGAATTTCTTTTTTATCATGTGTTTATAGCAATGATCGATTCAGTTGGTGGTCCACAGAGGATGAATAATTTTCTTGCAACACTCGATCTACCAACAGTTAATAATAAAAACCTGAAAGTTATGGAACGCAGAGCTGGTGAGATGATTGAAAAATTTGCAGAAGAGAATATGAGGAATGAAAGTCAAAAAGCATTCAGAGAGGAAATGAGGTACAGTCCCTGAAACGTTCTACTTTCCCACTTGAACGGTGAGCGAACGCTGAACGAACGGTGAACGAACGCTGAACGAACGCAGAGCGAACGGTGAGTGAACGAAGTGTGAACGCTGAACGCAACTTGGTGAACGATGTGTGAACGGTGAGCGAACGCAGAACGCGAACGGAGCGCAAACGCGAACGCAAAGTGAACGGTGAACGAACGGTGAACGCAAGATGAACGATTTATTCGGAATGCCTCTGATCTTTTCCTTGCATTGAAACTATTTTATTGTTTTATAATGTCAGGTGCAAAAAAAAAAAAAAAAAAAAAAAAAAGAATCAATAATAAATAAGTAAACCAATGAATGAATGAATAAATAAGTCAATAAAATAAATTCTCCAAAATTGTCCTGAGAAAGACGATGCATGCACAAGTTTTTAATCACACGATTTTTATCCATTAAAACATTGCAATTGTTGCCGAACGCTGAAGTATAAGAGATATTTTTTTTAGTTGGAAAATAAAAATGTTTATTCTTATCTGATAAAAAATCAGAGAAAACTTCTGACTTATAGAATGAATTAAAGTGGTTGTAACATCCATTCATATATCTCCGTGTTAAGGCGATTTCGTGTAAAGTAATGAAAAAAAAAATAATTACAAAGGTCAGTGGACGTTTTGCATTTATACGCTTGTATTTTAATTTTTTAATACAATAATATATTATGTGTCATTTCTATTTTACATGATGATTTATCAGGCCCGTAGGAAGCAAATTCGGTTTGGGGGGGGGGGGGCACAGCCATACATTTTCAGTTGATAGTTGAGGGGGCACTACATGTACCAAAAATTTCCCGACAAGCAAAAAAAAAAAAAAAAAAAAGAGAAAAAAAAGGTCATCAGACTTTTTATTGCGGGGGCACAAGCATATAGTATCTATGTTTACTATAGTAATCTATACGGCAAAATTATTGGGGAGGGGGGCACCCCCCCTTGCCGCCCCCCCCCCCCGGTCCCTACGGCCATGTTTACTGAGCAGACTTCTACATTTATCTGTAGATGGCCGTGATTATACTCGGACAAGATAATACAAAGATACATATTCATATTATTTGTTATAAATTCAATTTTCAGAACTTGGTATTCAAGTAATATGCTGTTTTAGTTTTTATTAAACAGACAAATGAGAGAGAGAGAGAGTTTCCGTTTTAGCCCCCCCCCCTTCCCATTTCAGGCTTCACTACGTGTTTGTACCTTTATCAAACAAAAACTCTGGAAATTTTTTTCTAAGTATATCAGACAGTGAAAGTAACTTTTTTCTTTAATCAACAAATCAAATCCATTTGTTTGACAGTCATACCCCTTTTCTTGCTTCAAGTTCACACGAAGTCCACGTGCTTGTCCTGTCAATCAAAATCATTAGACACTGTGCAGGTGTGAAAGTTTCCTCACATCGAAGACGAAGTGCGAGTATTTCCAACAAGTTATAACATTTATTTTTATCATTTCTAGGTTTGATTCCAACATTTGAATAATAATTGAATAAAATACATTGGGCATTAACACTTGAATTTGAAACATACTCCCTTCCAATTCCAAATACCACCGACGACACGTGTACATTTTGAACTACTATTGTTTTGTGACTTTTTTAGATGCCTGTTTGTTTTGAGACTGAAATTTTTGTTCTAAAAAAGACCTTGACTTTTTTTTTTAAAATGTTAATTAAAATATTTTGGAAATACAATACTGACAAAGTAACCGATTTAGGGGGAAAAAAGGGGGGGGGGGTATTAATCATATCGAATGGCAAACATATAAAGTTACGGTGAAGAAAGATTTTTTTTTCTCTATAACTATAGACTTTAAATATTATAGTAGAGAAAATTCTGTAGTGCATTACATTTTAAATAAATATTTCCTTTAACCACACCATCAATTTAATTCGCTCCAAAGGTAATAAATTAATACGATATCCGCAGTACTATGTATAACTCTCAGAACTAGTTCTATCATATTTTCTTTAGCAATTGGAAAAAAAAACGTGTTATAAATAAATATTTTCGTAATTTTGCTGCGTAATTATTTGACTTGGATAATTATATCTCCATTAACGATTTGTCGTCTTTAACAAAACAACAAAATGTTGCAGTGCTTGAAGTATTTGCACATTGCCCTTAGTTGAATTTAATATTTCAGCATCGTTCTACATAGCTATAGGTACAGAATTTGCTTATAACAACATTTATTTTCCAGAGTAATTTAATAAATAACCTAACAGCTAAGTTAGAATAATAAAAATATATATTGTAGATATTTTCCCCCATGCAATAATTATTCTTCAAACACGATATGTAAGTTATTAAATTAAAAAACCTGTAACTCCTAACCTACAAAAAGATAAGTCCTTTCACTTCGGAGTTCCGAATGACAATGAAAACTGAACGATAGGTGAACGCTGAACGCAAGGTGAACGCAAAGTGAACGGAACGAAGAGCGAACGCTGAACGCTTTGTGAACGGTGAACGCGAGCGCACGGTGAACGGTGAACGCAAAACTGTGAACGGAGAGCGAACGGTGAACGCACGGTGAACGAACGGTGAACGCACGGTGAACGAACGGTGAGCGAACGGAAAAATGGGAAAGTAGAACGTTTCAGGGACTGTATGTGTATTTGTATAAAATGTTGTTATTACTTATTACTAAAGTAAGCATATTTAAAGATTTTTATATTCCTAATATTAATTTTTATGATTTTTTTTTTTGAATATTTATAATCTACAATGTGTTTGGTAAATTTCAGAGAAGTTGCAGCACAGGAGATGGATTCAACTGCAGATTCTTTTGATAAAGAACTGGGTGTTGTAATAATTGAAGATGAATTTAAAGGGTAAATATTTGAAGTTTTAGAATATAATGTTGAATCATTAAAGTTACTTTTCCCTAAGAATCAATTCATCCATCTAATTTTTTAAAACCAATATCTTGTGTTATTTGTAGAGATCCATCTCTCATTGAAAAATGTAATTCTGGAGCATTTGATTTACTGACTGAGATGTAAATAAGTCAATTCTTGTGTATGTTCCATTTAAAGTGATAGTAGTCACATATAATCAAGAAAATAATGGACCTATACAATATCAGTTGTAAACATGCTTTCAGTAATAGTTCATCTTCTCAACCTCCTGGCCCTGCGAAAACAATGCCAGTAGGTGTTAACAGACCTGCATCCAAAACAAAAAAGAAAATTATATTCCCCTCAAAGACTCGATCAGGAATGACAGTAGCAGCTGATCATGCTTGGCAAAAGAGAGGTTATGACAGCTTAACAGGTATTTTTTTCAAACTATTCCATTGTTTTTACAATTGATTATGATGCTAATGTAGATCTGGGCTGTAACAATAACATGTATGTATTTGCAAAAGGACATTTTTTCCAGATAAGTAAAAGGAACAAAGTATTAAAGACAGTCGTCAAGCATCGGTCATGTGCAACCTGCAAATGGTGGAAAAGAAATAGGCCAGGTCAGAGAATAAGGTTTCATAGGTGTGTTTGGAACCACAGAGGCAGTGCTAGGATGATGGAGAGTGAGGCTGGACTGCTTGCACTGAAAGAAATGTCTAGCCACGGTACACCAGTTGAGATAATTGAAGGTGATGGGGATAACACTTTAATTGCTCGTCTAAAGAGTCAGTGTGGTCTGTCAGTTGTTAAAAGACTGGACAAAAATCACTGTGTTAAAAATATTTTAAAAACTTTGTATGAACTTCGCAATTCGAAAGTGGTTAAAATTTCCAATCAGGTTATTCAGCATTTGTCAAAGTGCATCAAATACATATTTGCCAAGAATCAAGGTGATGAAGAGGGAATGCGAGAAAATTTGGTAGCTTTGGTTCCACATCAGTTTGGTGACCACAGCAAATGTCATGGGAGGTTTTGTGGGTATAAACGTAAACCTAATGAAACTTATATTCATAGAAGTTTGCCATATAAGGTACCGTTGCAGGATCCATTGTTACGTCAGAGCCTTGATGACATATTTGCTCCAATCATTGCTAAAAGTGCTTCATATATAGAATTAGGGTCAAGTCAGGCATGTGAACATGCCAATGGAGAGACATGTCTGAGAGTTCCGAAGCATCTCCATTATGGTGAAAGCGAGAGTTTAGATTTTAGAGTTAAAGCAACAGCAGCATATATTAATGAGGGTAGAAAGTACTTGTCAGAGGTATAATGTGTGTTCAGTTCTTTCTGTTCTAGATCTGTTGATATTTCTGGTGGTTCAAGTTGGAATTTTGGCAGGTCTGTTCTGTTCTATTGTTGATATTTCTTTCGGCATTAGTTGGAATTTTGACATTGGTTAATTTTCTTTGTTTTGCCTTTCTGCGTTTACTTGTTCAGACACAATAGATTCAGTATTGTTGAAGCATTGATATTATAAATTCTATTTATTATATCAAAATTTTTACAATGATATGCAGTGGATATTACTCGTGAAATAAATTTTTGATTTGACATTGTAATAACGTTACAACATATTTTCTTCATTATTGTTAAAATGACACTGTGACTCAAAGACAGGAAACTCAGAAAAGATCATTAACTATGATAATTCATGAGAGATCCTATATGTTTAGAATTTAATTCTATGAAAATTTTACTACAATTATGTTGTGAACTCATGCATTTTATTATTATAATACTTACAGGCTTTTGTCAGCAATGACTTATCTCCAGGACACTTCTCCGAGTCTTATGCAGAGAAGATGGATGCTGACAGAATGAAGAGGATGGATAGGGCCAGGTTACCAGAGAGAAAAAGAAGGAGACTATTTTTGAAGGAAGAGAGGTCAACCTCAAAGGGAGGAAATGAAGCAATTGAAGGATTGGCTTATCAATCTGGTTTGTCATTTGTCAATTATGTCAATTACAGACATTTTTTCACAATCATTTATACAGTATGTACAGTTCCGTTTATTATTTATAAAAATATCTGTTTTAGAAATTGGACTGTCTGTGAATGAAGAGGGTATAGAAAAGATTCCAGATCCTGTGCCAAAGCCCAGCTTTTCCTCTTCTTCAAATTTGAAAAACTGCTCAGCACCCAGTATTGTTATTATAGATCTGGAAACCACTGGCCTGAGTAAATATTTTTTTCAAATATTAAAAAAAACCCAAGTAAATAACACCAAATAAAATTAGACTAATATCAATATGCATCCATATTTTTTCAGTTCAGCATGGCATTATGCCCCACATCACCCAGATAGCTGCTGTGAACAGCAATACAAAGGAGCAGTTCTCAAGATATGTGGCTCCAGATCTGCCTATTACACCAATGGCTGAAAAGGTCACCAACATAACCTGGAGTGGTGGAGTTCTTTGTTACCGTGGTGAGCCAGTTGATTTTGTGAGAATAAAGACTGCACTTGAGGATTTTTTGGAGTGGTTGGAGAAATTTCCCAGTGTAGTAATAGTAGCACACAATGGACGAACATTCGATTTCAGAGTATTATGCAGGGCATTTTGTAGCTGTGGTTTGCAAGAGAGACTTTCCTCTAAAGTCTCAGCATTTTGTGACTCACTTACTCTTTTCAGACAAAAATACCCAAAACTTGAAAAGTATAAGCAAGAATTTCTAGCACAGCATTTTTGTGGTCATACTTACAATGCCCATAATGCTCCTGATGGTGTTGTCATGCTAGATGAAATTATACAAACTGGACTTGTCTCTGTTTCAGACTTTAAAAAAACATTCTTACAATACCGAATGTCAATTTCTTCAGGAAGAGTTTAATTCTTGCAAATCAAAAAACATTGCTTCGCTTCGCCCTCTTATTGGAGAAAAAATTATGAAATCCTGCACAGTAGAAAATATTGCTGGATCTGGGCTGAATCTAGGACACCTGAGACTGATATTCAAGAGAAGTGGTGAGGATGGACTGGTGGATGTGTTTTCTATGAAAAATAGTTTAGGGAAACCAAGAGTTACATCGGACAAAAAAGTGTTAGGAGAATGTATTCCAAAACTATCTGCATATTTTAGCAAATGAATTTTATTAATCTGTGTTATTTTAATTTATTGTTAGAAGTTTATGTATTTTTTTAATAAAAGTACATGAAAAGAGCAAACAATGAAATTTTTTTTATTTGAGACAGGTATTTCTATGATTTATTTACATAAAAATAAGTGAAATACATTTATTGTAGTGAAAATATCTGGATAAAACTCTAGGAAAATTGTTTACTTTTTCGAAAAGTTGCCTGTGGGTTATCTCCCTTTATGAGTTCTTGCCCCTGGTGACCTATTTATTTTTTACTACTATGGCAGCCTTATAGATTAAACACACAAAAAAATTATAGCTTCCAGTTATATAAGAAAAATAAAAAATTTTCAAATCGACCAAAAACGCTATTTTTTTTACCTCCTAAATTATAGCTTTTTGCATAATTTTACTTGCAGAAATTGTAAATGTTGAAAAATTATTTGTATATTTCAAGTATTTATATATAAATGATAAAGTACAACAGGTATTCAATTTTTATTTTATTGATTTTAAATCAAAATTTTTGTTATTTTATGAATGTAATGCATCTGGTTTTGAAAACATCCAGAGTTGTCTCCCCTTATGAGTTATCGCCCTTGTTGACCTAGTTTTTGTATCCCCCACGGTGATCATCAAGAAACAATAAAAAATTCATATGCTTTCCATGCATCAATTTTTAATATATACATTTGTGGTATCTCTCTATTATATAAACATGCAGAGAGCAAATATCTTCATACCTGTATGAAGTTTTTCGAAGGTCATAGGTCATTACGTGACCTAATCACACAGCGCAGTAATATCTCTATTAAAAAGACTTACTCCACTAAGCAATATAGCATGTTTTTCATGCATAAAAATGTACAAAATACGCAAGTAAAATAATAATCATTTTATTTACAATGTAAACGAGTATTTAATACAGTTCTTGATCGATTTTACATAGAGAAAAGAAAACTACGTGTTATAAGTTTCATGTCTGAGCTGCATAGTCTCAACATTTACCCTTATTTTTCTCGCAGACCTCTGAATGCTATAATTTTTTTTCATTAAACTTTACTCACAATAAATTTGAAAATCTGTTGAAAAATATCAATGTAATGCAATCACGCCACAAACAGCTGACAAACACTGCACTTTAGAAGTTCGGTAGGCACACCTCCATCATCGAGATCGTTGTGACGTTGTCTTAACAATGTAAGCTGTCGCCAGTGTCTCCATGTCAACATCATAAATTAATAAATATGCCTTACTGAAATCGTAGAATTTATGTTTTTGATCAAATTTTGTACTTGATTTCAAGTTATCTGGTCCGGACAAGTGTCTCCATCCATCCCTTTCCGATCGAAATTCCTCCAACTTTTTAGTATCAAACATCGGACGTGTTTCTTGTGTTTTTTTAACATCGAATATGGGTTCTCATGAATACAAAAATTTCCAGACACCAATATGCTCACTATAATTGATCACAAGTAGCCTTTCACAGAATATTCCCTTCAAAACAATCCTTTGCCAGATGAATTTGAAGCGTAACCGCTTTTCAAGCCGATTTACACCTAGCGTAATTTGTCAAATTCTACGACGTACAGTTAGTGCAATATTTATATTCGATTACATTCGATTGTCCGTCTCAAATGTATATATAAGTAATAAATAACAAGTTTAAAAACTTCAATGGGAATTGAAGTGGGTCGGTACGTGATCAAATCTTCTGAGAAGGCCTTCGGCCTTCACAGGATTTGATCACGTGACCGACCCACTTCAATTCCCATTGAAGTTTTTAAACTTGTTATTTATTTCTTAATTGAATTATGGATCGGATACCTTAATTGACAATTTTTGTATAATTTGTGGGTTTCGTTTCGTACAAACTGTCTAAAACAGTGATGGAACTGAAAGATGTCTTATATTCTCTAACAAGAAGTTGAAGTTAACAGCAGATCGTATACGATTGGTCGAGACATGCATCGGGGAGCAAATTAAGAAGGATGCTGACGATCGAGGCATATGTATATCATGTTTCCGATCGGCCGAACGTATAGAAATGTTAAAGAAAGATGTCGAGAGGTAGGTTATTATTCAGTCATTCATGTGATTAAAGCGAAAACACTTTATTGCCATAGTCATGAATATGATATTGATCTTACTGTATACATGTACAGTCCAAAGACTATTTCTACCTATGTAGCTATAATAGCTACCTGGGTATTTAAACCTACTTCTACCTACTTTTACCTGTCTTTGGAAGCTGAAAAATCCAAACCTTCCTTACAAGAACAAGATCTGATGAGTAAAGAATTAACTTTCCTTGTGTCTACTGCTCTGGTTCAGAATATTCCTAAACTGAAGTCCTGTTTGGGAAGCATATACCCTGAACATTTTGATCATCATTATAGTGATCTAGCTGGGATGATGAAACCAATGTAATTTAATGTATTTGATATGTATTATATCTCATTACTTAGAATGAAATGAAGAAATAAATACAATGTACATGAAAAGCAAGATTAAGAAACTAACAGGCTATAATCATTAATCTATTCAAAGTTAGACATCTAACTCAGTTTATTTTTTAAATTTAATTTTGTTTGGGTTTATACGACTGCAATGAACAGAAGACACAGGAAGTAATCCTCCTTTTGAAGGTCATTTCGAAGAAATACGTCTCTCAAGTGAATGGTGAAATCAAAGAAGAGGTGTTTCTGGGAGGTAAAATATGTGTTTATTTACAAAATATGGGGGGGGGGAATGTTATGTTATGTGTTTTGGTTGGGATATTTCCATCTTTCATACACATTTTCAGGAAGATTGTGATTCAAGCATTCTTTTTAAAGCTTCACAGCAATTTATGTCAAATTACATGTATATTGTTTTTGTCAATACATGTTTTCAAGACTGCATAGAAAATGACCAATCAAACAGAGGTAATTTTATAAAATCTATCAGTTAGACGCTCCCCATTTAAAAATATTCTATCTTTCATTTTACTTTTTTTTTCAGGAGACAGGCTTACTGATGAAAGAATTCAATGTGCTCAACAGTAATGGTAAATTCTGCTACATCGATGGAAAGACTTGAGGGGTTTATATCCTAAATAGAGGACTTTCATCGCCTTATGAATTTCTTGGAGGTGGGTTAATTACATGTATTATTGATTTCATAAAAAACTAACACTTGTAATACAGGTCACACATTTTTATCTCCCCTGCTTTTCGCCAAAGATGGGGGATATTAAGTTGGGTCCGTCTTTGACACTGGTTTTCATTTAAAAATTTTACAATGAAATTTCATATGATGACTTCCTATAACTTAAAGAAGACCTTAATCATTTGGAGGTCAGTAGGTTGAAGGTCAAGGTCACAAAGTCTATTCTTGTAGATTTGTAATTGATATCCTTAGGGATTTTAGCCTGTGCATAGAAAATGTATTGAATGACTCTGTAACTTGAGGAAGGCCCCTATTGATTTTTAGGTCAGTAGGTAAAAAGTAAAGGTAAAAATTTCCTATATTATGGAAACGGTTTTCAGATGATATCTTTAGTTCTCTTTGAGCTTTTGCAATGGAATTTAACATGATGACCACCTATAATATAAGAATGGCCCTTATTGATTTTGGGTGTTTATTATGAAACCCTACAAAACTGTATATTCTACTTGGAAATTATTTATTGCTTTAAAAGATACAATATTTTAAAACTTTCCTTACTTTTCCTGTATTTCTTCGGGTCTATCTTTTTTTATTCTGCCTTTAAGAAGGGGTACATGAATTCTCTGATAAGCTTGTTTCCTAATGAAATCTCAATAGCATTATTGTTGATTTTTTTCTTTCCTAGGCTATCTGCAAGCTGACATTTGACACTGGTTCTGCGAAGGAAAGGTGCACTGCATACTATTTTAGGAACCTTTTGAATGCAAGAGATGTAAAAAAAAAAGCCTACAAAAAGCTTTATTACACAATATTTGATGGCATATGTTGTGCTTTGTTTCTTAAAGAAATGAATTTGAATTCATTGGAACAGGAACTTCCTATACTGTGCGATTGGGAAACTTTAGAAAATGATGAGAAAATCAAGTGGTTAGATGATATTAGCTGTAAAATTGTCAGAAATTGGTTCTTAGAGAACAATGATATATGTCATGAAATAAGCGAAGTCCTGGCTGGCCCCAATCATGAGGAGAATTATTGGACGGGAAATTACATTAATGGGAAATTCAGGTGCCATTTTTGTTAGAGGTCATACACCTACATTGGAAGTCTTCAATCTCATGAACTAAAATTACATTCTCATTCGCCTTCTAAGAGCTGCCCCAGAAGCAAAGATGCAGGTGGTGATGAACTTTACAATTACATTCTGTGTCTATTCAAGTTGACTGCTTTACATAAAAACTTTGATTATGCTGTCGACATGAGTGATGGATTGCGATCGGTACGTTCTGAAAAATATGAAACTCCCATATACAGCAAAACAAACAAAACTAAACACCTCATTGGAAGTGTGCATTTGACTGCCCAAGTATGTGGAAGTCTTCCTATGGAACAAACTGAACGCTTGGTATGGAATAGATCAATTAATATCAGTGGAGGCAAAAACCGAAACATGGCACTCGATGAATTTGTTGAGCTTGTCAACAGAGATACCAAAGCTATCTGCTCTGGTTTCCAAACGAAGGACAGCATTTTAACTCATTCAAGAGAATTCCCTCATCTAATCAATGCTTCCAAGCACTTTGACACAATTTGCAATGCGAGAAAACGGAAAGGATTCCACAAGGAACCGTCTTACCTAGAGGATGTGAAGTTACAACAGAGCTTTTACATGTGAAAGCACTACAGCAGATTGAAGGCCGAAAAATGGAATGCAAGGACATTTTATCAGGCAGAAATCCGTATGAATCATGTTAGAACCTTGCAATGATGATACACAGACATAAGCCCGTCCTTCCATTTAGACGTTTGGGCAATAAAAGAATGTGAAAGTTCAGTAACACCCCCCCCCCCCATCCCTTTATAACAGGTAATGAGAGAGACCTGTACATTGTAAATATTTGCTGGGGTTAATCATAATCATATCATGTT